TGTAAATATTTTTTTTAATTTCGAAAATTGTAGGTGTGAAAATGAAGTGACGTAACAAATGAAACTGAAGTGATTTAGTGACGATACAAGTGATTTATTCAAAATGGTTTTCATTTTCAGCCTCCTTAATTTTGGTATAAGGTGGAAGAATCCCAGGCCGCATTACCTGGCTGCAAGCCGTGCCTGTATACCGTGGCTGCATACCTTTGACTACATACCTTGGGTTGTTTTACCCTGGGCTGTAATATCCCGGTCCGCAGTATCCTGCCTGGGCCGTATGACCCCAGGCTGGATTAGTATTTATAATATATTCTATTTTGATGTGCAGTTGTGACTTTTCTGGATATATATATATATGGAAAATATATATTGAAGGAAATATTGATTTTTTATTTTATTTTTTTCTCTTGAAGCAATCTATTCCCCAGAGGATGTAAGAAACGAACAAAAAGTTAGCTCATGATATCTGGAAAGTATTTACTTATGAGATATTACGATTAAAATGAAGGGAAACCACGGACGTATATGTATATTATATATATATTGTACACACACATACATTTGTGTGTGCATATATATGTATGTATATGTATATATATGTATATATATATGTATATATATGCATATATTTGTATATGTATGTATATATGTATATATAGTTTTGCAGTTTTACATTATCTCGTTTTATCTACTATTTATAATGCATTTTTTCGTCGTTATTATTGCATATTATTGTTCAAGCTTACTGTAAGTGTTGTAGGGTAAATCGAGACATCTTAATGCAAATTAATTGCCAGCCTGCTAAACTATCTAGGTCCCAAAGACTGTGAGCAAGTTATACTGTAGCTAATGTTGTGTAAATAATCGAATACACAAGTGAACCGTTAGATCAATCGACTTGAGCAGATGAATTCTTTAACCGATACCACAGTTCCATAATTGTTATTTTGAGGTCAGAAGAGAAATCGGAATCAAATGATACAATTTTTGTGTAGTACGTTTTTTATTGTGTACAAGATTGTCTGTTAATCGGGAAAATAGGAGTCCTGTATTGGGCAATATTGTGATTACAATATAGGGTGAAAGCTTCTGTCCTGATATTCGTACACCATAGATATGTTTATATACACGCACATACACATGCGCACTCACGCACGCACGTGCACACACACACACATATTTGTACATGAATATCTGTCCACTAAAATATGTAAAATGTGTATGCTTTCGTGACAAAAATATATTTTGCTGACTTTTTTGGTGAAAAAAGTAACTTTTGTCATTTTTATACCTATTTAAATACATATTATTGACAAAAAAGGTTTAAGAGGAAAAAACGGCGGCCGAAATAGACTACTTATTCTTAGTCCTTTTTAAGTAAACATGCATATGTGTGTGCGTGTGCTTGTGAGCACGTTTTAAACCTTGCTCGTGCATCGTAATTAACTCAAGACGAACTCTGATTAAGCTGATGGTTACTACTCTTCCTCTTCTTAGAAATACGGCCTTAAGGCATATTCCTCTCGGTTATGCCCGGTGCAACCACAACTTCTAACGAGATTCATGATGTAAGTAGTAATTCTTTCTGCACTCACATCATAATCCGCCAGATGACAGCCGTGACCGGTGTTGGCGCACAGCTTTCGGATAATAGATTTCAGCACGAATAGGGGCGCAGCCATGAGGAAATCGCCAAACCATTCAAAGGGCAATAGAAACACGTCTACTGTGAATTCTATGTACTTCCATTCCAATCCGCACGTTTCCTCCCTTCACCAATTAAACGTTCTATATGACCTACGGACGAACCTTGGATTTTCAAAAAAGGAAGCAGATTTACCATAGCCTTGGAGGAAGAGGCAGATGCTCTGGCAGAGCGGGACGTCGAGCTCGGAGGAGGACATCGGCTCAGAATAAGGATCTGGACACCCCTGAGGAGAAGGAAGTCTGGATTTAACATTTAGTCTTTACACGTTTCTACATACACACATGCACATACATAAATATACATACTCATTTATATGTATATACATATATATATATATATATATATATATATATATATATATATATATAATATATATATATATATATATATATTATTATATATATACTATAAATATGTGTATATATATATATATATATATATATATATATATGTATATATATATGTATATATATATATATATATATATATATATATATATATATATGTATATATATGTATACATATATATATATGTATATATATATATATATATATATATATATATATATATATATATATATATATATATATATGTACGTACACATACACACACACATGCGCACACACATACAACGTGTATGTATGTGTGAACATATATATGTATATATATATAATATCTATACATATGATATATAATATAATATATAATATATATATGAATATATATATACATATATATGTATACACATATATATACACATATATACATATATACTTTTATAAGATATATAT